TTTTCACTTTATGTTTCTGTGTGGGAACAAACTGTTGAAATCCTTACTTAAGGTATACTAAGCTGATCTTCTGTATACTAAGATAATCGAAAATGAATCTTGATGTGAATGGAAGGGGAGAGGGAGTGGGAAAGGGGAGGGTGGTGGGTGGGAGGGACGGTATGGGGGGGAAAGCCATTGTAACCCATGAGACGTACTTTGGAAATTTATATTCATTAAATAAAAGATAAAAAAAAAGAAAAAAAGAAAAAAAAAAAAAAAAGAAAACAAGTCATTGTAAAAATTAAAAGAAAATAAGAAAGGAAGAAGGAGGGTGGAATGGAGGGAGGGAGGAAGAGGAAGGCAGAGTGAAAAGTATCATTATGCTCTTAAAACTGTATATATGAAACATAAAATTTATTCCATTTATATAAATAAAAAAGTAAAAAAAAAGTTTTAATAAAAAAAGAAAAGTTTCAGTGCCAAAATTATTTAACTATCTATATCTAAATTTTGAAAAGAATTTCACTTAGGGCATTTTTATCTTGGAATTTTCACAAGATTATTTTAGTAGATGAAGTAACATAACAGCCTTTGCTAAATATATTGTATCTGACCTAACCTAAGAGAAAAGTCAAAGAAATTAGATGTGAGCTGGACTGACTCAAACCTACTGTTGAGAAATAGTGGTCAGAACACAGAGTTGTTCCTGTGTCCCGAAATCTCTTGTTCGCTTACTTTCTAATGTTAGTTGTCCTGAGTTGCACAGAAAATGGTTTTAGAAAATTTGAGAGAACTGGATTAAGGTTGGTCAGAACATGACTGAATGAAGAGGATGTGTATCCACCTCAGCCCTGAAAAAAGTCTCAGAACAGTAACCACAATTCCTGAAGTTAGTCTGAGGAAAACTAGTAAAAGCGTGACAGGAACCACCGGAGACTCTGAAAACCAGGAGAGAGAGAGAGAGAGAGAGAGAGAGAGAGAGAGCGCATCGCTGCCTCCCACCACTCCTATCCAGACTCCCTGCCGGGAACACCATTGTAAAATATTAGAACTGCAGAGACCGATAGAGGGAAGACCTTCAGAGAGGAGGTGGCGAGATCTGCAAACACCTCGGAGACTCTAACAGAGAGAGAGAGGGAAAAACAAAGCCCGCTGCCCTCAGCCAGTGCCCACAGCTCCTTCCCTGCGCCCCTGCTGGGGGATGCCATCTTTCTAGGAAGCAGAAAGCGCCACTGGCTACAGAACAGCCTGAATACAAAAGAGTTCAAGTCCTCCTTGACTTTAAATCGAGTCTGAGGACTGACTAGTGTCCGAGTAACTACTTCGCTCCGAAGTAGGAACCCACAGCGCCGAGCTCCACCCGCAAATTGCCAGACCCAGAACTGCTTCCAAGAAGCTGCTGAACTCCAGCGACAGCAAGGGCACTTTGCAGGGGCTCCTATGAATCCTGCAGCAGTGGGAGTTCTAGACACAAGCCTTGGAGCTACACTTGCTCTGTCCATCAGGTCCTCAGGGCTTGTTGGAGCTTGTCCCAGCAGCAGCCCATATACCATCCCAGAGGACAAGACATGAGAAAGCTCCCTGCAGTTTTTGTCACAGAGTGCTGAGGGGCCAGAGCACCAGGCTCCAGTGTCACCCTTGCATGCCCTGCAGGAATTAAGGGCAGTCCCCTATTTACCCTGGAACTATGCCAGTTCTAGAACCCCTGAAGTAATTTGCATTCACCTGTGAAATATAAAGGGCCCTGCATTCCTCTGCTTCAGGCTGCTGACTTACATTCCACAATCCCTATAGTAAGGGCACTCATGCTGTGAGACTTGGATAAAGAGCCCCCTGTCTCCTGCAGCGCCAGGACCTCATTATTGGTATTCCTGAGAGTCACTGAAACACAGCCTACAGGAACCAGGAAGAACCTAACTGCGTTCCAGTTTTCCAAATTCACACCTCAGTAAATTTTAAGATTGATCATCCCGTGGATCTTCTCATGCCATAAAGGAATAAAATCAGAAATCAACAACAAAAACAATAGAAAATTTACAAATATATGGAAATTAAACAGCATGCTACTGATCAATGATCAGTGGCTCACTGAGGAAATTTGAAAGGAAATAAAAATATTCTTTTATCGAATGAAAATGAAAGCACGACATACCAAAACCTGGGAGACACAGCAAAAGCAATATTATGAGGGAAGTTTATAGCAACAAAATGGATGAAACTGGAAGACATCATGCTGAGTGAAATAAGCCAGACACAGAAAGACAAATACCACATGTTCCCCCTTAGATGTGAGAACTAAAATTAAGAACAAACAAACAAACAAACTCAGTCTGAACACAGACTGTTGAATTACCAGAGGCTGGGGTGGAAGGGATAAAAGGAGTTTGATTTAAAAAACAGGGGAATCTAGGTGTGGTTCATTAAATGTGACAAATATACTAACATGAGAGTTTCAAAAAGAAATTAGATGAGGAGTATATACGAACGAACTCTGTATTACTACCTCGCAAATTTTGTTTCAGAAATATAAAACTATTATGAAATAAATGTTTATAAAACTGGATTAAATGATGACCTCAACTTTTGTAAAAGGGAATTATTTCAAGGATATCCTTAATAAAGCTGGTAGAGTACATCCTAATGAGAAAAGTGAAAAAAAAAAAATTAGACTGAAAGTTTAGCTTAGCCAGAAGGTAAGAGTAAACTCACTGTGACATAACACAGTAGTTCAAAACCATGCACAAAGATGAGTTTCCCTCAACACACAAAGATGATTTTAAAAGCAGGGATCTGTGGGATACAGGTAGGGTTGCCTAGTGCTGATGTATGGGAGCAGACGAATGTGGAAAGTCACAGCATTCATCCATATTTCTTTTCCAAGTCAATGAATCATCCTATACAGTAAATCTTATAGATGATTTTCTTATTTATGGATAATATTCCTATCATAATGAGAATGGCTTATTTGTTAAAGGTGACCACAGGAGAAAATGACCAAAGACCCCACCAAAAAGAGAAATATCAACAGAATGTGAAGACAAAGTTGCATACACTTTGTTCCACAAGTTTGATGGCTTTAAATTTCATGCTAGGTGAAAGAATTTTACCTAGCATGTTTTTTTTTTTTTTAATGGCCAGAAAATACCTAAGCTGGGTAAAACAAATGATTGACTTTTTATCTAAGGAAGTTATTTCTTCTTGCTGATTATTGAACTCTGAACACCTTTAAAAAAAAGATTATTTGAAAGGCAGAGTTACAGAGAGAGGGAGAGGCAGAGAGAAAAAGATCCACTGGTTCACTCTCCAAATGGCCACATTAGCCTGGGCTGGACTAGGCTGAAGCCAGGAACCAAGAGTTTCATCTGGGTTGCCCACATGGATGCAGAGACCCAAAAACTGGGGCTATCTTTCACTGCTTTCCCAAACACTTTATCAGGGAGCCAGTTTGGAAGCAGAGCGGCCAGGATTCCAACCAGCTCCCAAATGAGATGCCAGTATTGCAAGCAGCAGTTTAACCCCTTTTTAAAAATAAATGGTTATTCAATGGGCTTTGCTGTTTTATATTTTTAGCAATCATGAAAATCACTGTCCATTGTCAATTTATGATGATGATTGTGTTGTGATGATGTAGAATGATTTTTTTTTCTTTAAAGATTTACTTATCTGAAAAGCAGATGGAGCAAACATGATGTGACCCTTCTGCCAGGTGTTAGGTAGCTGACATCTTACTCTGTCCTCACATTGCTGAAAGCAGAGCAAGAGACTCCTGGGGTCCCACTCAGGACATAATTGCCCCTCTTGACATAATTGCCTCCCACCGGCCCTACATCCTAATACCATCATGATTGGGGCATCACGACTTTGTGTGGATGCAATCTTCATTTTATAACAATGACTCTTTAGATTTTCTTGGATTAAGTTCCAGACTACTTATTAAATTACATGAAATTAACATTGTCTACATTGCCTTCGTTTCATTCTAGGATATTTAAGTCTAATCAAAGTGGTCTGTTCTTTGAACCCTAATAGCCAAATTATGTACTTGTATTATTTTATTTTTTTTGATTGAGATGAATTTCCACCCCTTTATGATTTTTTACAGTTTAATCCTTTCTTTAAGATTCATTGTCAAAGAGCTTCAGGATTTTTCCTACTTGAAACCTAACGAGTTAACCACCCGAGTTTTATGGATATTGTCATAAAACATGAGACTCTTACATCAGGAACAAAAGACTTACTCTTTGTATAATGAGCACAATAAACTTTTTGATTATAAAAAAAAAAAAAGCAGAGTTATTGAAAGACGGAGGTAGAGAGATAGAGAGAGGTCTTCCATCCACTGGTTCACTCCCCAGATGGCCAAATGGCTGGAGCTGTGGCGATCCAAAGCCAGGACTCAGGAGATTCTTCTAAGTCTCCCACATGGGTGCAGGGGCCCAAGGACTGGGTCCTGGACCCAGAATGATTGACTTTTAAAATCCACAAGGCCAGCGCTATGGCATAGCGGGTAAAGCCACCGCCTGCAATGCCGGCATCCTATATAGGCTCTGGTTCAAGTCCTGGCTGCTCCACTTCCGATCCAGCTCTCTGCTAATGGCCTGGGAAAGTAATAGAAGATGGCCCAAGTTGTGCCAACCCAAGTGCCTGGGTTGGAATCCACTTCAGCTTCCATTCCAGCTTCTTGCTGATGTTCCTGGGAGGTAGCAGATGATGGCCCAAAAACTTGATTGGAGTTCCAGGAACATGGCTTTGTCCTGGCCCAGCTCCAATTGTTGCAAGCATTTTTGGTGTTAAGCAGTAGATGAAGAGATCTCTGTCTCTCCCTCTTTGTCTCTTTGAAATTAATATATAAATAAATCATTTTTGAAAGAGTTGTTCTATATCCCTAAAATATGACTTTTAAAAATGAACAATATAGGCATTGAACTATAATGCTTACAAGATCTATAGTATATCCTATACTTTGAAAATTCTGTGTTGCAGTTGTTGAATGTTTCTTGTGTGCATGTATGCAAAAGAATTTAGATTATCTGGCACCTAATGAAATCTAGTATCACAGTGACCCTGAGAATAAAGAGCACAGTCATGAGTGAAGACTTTTTCACTTTTTTTAATTTATAAAACTACAACCAGTTTCTAACAATCTTTATCAGTCATATATCCACAGCACAAAGATTTTTAAAATTTTTCAATTGATAAAATGCACAAATACAAGTGAATTTGGTTTCTAAAGTGTAAGTAATGTCCGTAGTGAGAAAATGTGTAATCTCTGCCCCGCACCAGCAAGCTCAACATTGGTGATCGCGTTTCCCTTCCCGTCCCATCCCATCCGGTCCCGTCCCTGTCCCCGTTAGGTTGTGCATGGAGGGCTGGCCGCCCTTTTGGGCTAAATTGGAGTCGTCACGGTGTGTGTTTTCTGCAGCCTGGCTGAATCTCAATCAGCACTTCCTTGAGTTAGATTTGTCTACAGCCACGTGGGGGAATCATGGTCAGCATGTTTTGTTTCTTATAAACTGAAGTCCTAAGCCATGAATTATTTGTGCTCTAACAGGGAAATTGAACTTGGTGAAAATAAAACTTACTATGTACTACGTATTTATTAATTTTTTTTTTCCAAGATAGACTGCTCCTAAGACTGTGGTCGCGACTGCTGTAGGCCTTGGGTCATTTTTGTATCCAACTTGTGGAAGAAGTGCTATTTCCTCACCGGGTTTTCTTTTGGAAATGTAAGTTCACTGCTTTAAGAGGCCGCGCCGGTGCTGATTCTGGAAGCCGGGGCTGCGGAGCCCAGCCTGCGGTGAGCCGGCAGTAACTGAGCTCCCAGAGACCGAGGAAGGGCCGCGGCGGGCCGGCGGGCCGGCTGGGGAGCACCCTTCCCTTTCTCAGTGCGAATCCCGAGCTCCAGCTCCAGCGCAGGGAGCCGTGGCCGAGGCTCGGCCTGGGTCCCGGAAGGACCACTGTGCTGTTGTCCACGAGACCTTCCGTGGCCGTGGCCCGCACACAGGGCCCCCGGCACTGCCGGAGAGAAACAGCTGAAAGAAGGGCCGTTGGTGGTGTCGGTGGGCGGTGGCCGGCAGCGCCTTGCTCCCCCGGGGAGCCTGAGCCAGGTGTGGCGGTCCTGCCTCGGACCCTTGGTTTTTGTGTTTCCAGTGGTCACGTGTGGCTGCCTCTCTGCGAGTGTCCAAGGACGCCAAATCTTAAGATTTTGATGAAGACAGATTTATTTTTCTCTTTAAGGCTTTATCTAGGAAGTTAGTCAAATGAGTGATTGGCAAATGGACAAAGCTACTAAAAAGACTGATGTGTTTCTAGAAAGATCATAACCTAGAATCTTAAGAGGTTTGGGATGTAAAAGTTTCCATGGCAATTCTTGTAAGGTGTGGGCTGACGAATTGGAAGTGGCCTGGATTTGATGTCTGCAACTAACCAGGTGCCCAGGACTGACCCCTACCCGGTTAGGCCTCAGCGGGGAGGCAGGGTCTACGTGGAGGGGCTCACCGTTTTTAGGGGATTCTGAAATGTCTTTGTATAGCAGTTGGGACACTCTGTACTCTTCCAGTTGATAGAACTTTTTTTAAATGTAGATGCAGCTAAATATTCAAATACAATTTTAAGATTTTATTTCTTGGTAACTTCATTTTCACAAATTGTCTTTAAAGCCTTGAGCAGTCTGTATACGATTAAGAGATTTACAACGTTTATCCTTACAATAAGTGCATTAGCTGTAGAGCATAGGCATTTTTACTTCTGGGAAGGTTTCAGTCTCTCCAGAGTTGTAGATAGCTTTCATTTCTGTGCATTAAAAAAATTCCTTTAGAAAATATTTACAAAGTAAAAATGCGAGGAAATACAAGTTATTTTTCATAAGCATTTTGATACGCATTGCATCCAGTTTATTAATTCACCAATTTCTTACACTGGTTATTTATAATCAGTATTTACTTCAGAGAGGGGAAAGCATTCAAGTGCCATTCTCTACAAATGAGCAAGGTTGGAGCCACCAACTTTTATTTTTATCATGGAAAAAAATTTTCACTCCCCAACCTCTAATGTTGAACAGAATTGGAACATTTTCTTTAGAATTTCTCAAATAGGCGGAGGAAAGCTTACTGTCAAATGCTGTTGTTTTCCCTCTTCTGTCTTTGGAACATCAACACCAGTATATTGCTGGCAGTTATTGTATTAAAAAATAAAGTATATTTTCATTATCATAAAGGATTCTGTTTCCCCCTTAAGAAAATAAATAACAACTTGAGCTAAAAAAAATTAAATGAAAAATTTTTTAAAATGCACAAATAGTACAATATTCACAAGAAACAAAAGTTATGCAAAGAAAAAGAGGTCTCTTTCTCACTCAGCCACTCAACTCACTTCTCCAAATACAATCATTTCTTCCAGTTTTTTTTTTTTTTTTTGTATATAACATTTAAAGATAATCTCTGTATTTAAAACAAAGGGGAGGACATTTGGAACAGGGGTTAAGATGTCACTTGGGAAGCTCACAGTCTATATCAGAGTACTAGTTCAAGTTCCCACTGCCCACTTCTGATCTGGCTTACTGATAATGTACACTCAGCAGGTGATGGCTCAAGCACTTTGGTCCCTGCCACACATGTGAAGACCCAGATTGAGTTCAGGGCTCTTGGCTCTTGCTTCAGCCTGGCCCAGCCCTGACTCCTGGAGGTATTTGAGAAGTGAAATAGCAAATAGAAAATCTCTCCATCTCTCTCTTTTTCAAATAAAGCGAAAGTAAATGAATAAACATAAATTCTTAAAAAGTAGGCACACAAAAGCTATAGAGATGCATAATTAGAAAAGTAGTGTGTAGGGCAATGCAAAAGCAAGAATCTTCTTCCTAAAGCAATAAAATGAGTAAGTACACAATCACATAGATGTGAGTGAAGATGTAGTTCAAAATTAGAAGAAAATCTTGGGAACCGGGAGCAGGTATTTGGTGTAGTGGTCAGGATGTGGTTGGGACACCAGCATCTCACATCAGCGTACTTGGGTTACAATCCTAGCTCTGCTCTCAATTCCAGTTTCCCCCTAATGTGTACACTGAGGGCAGTAGGTGTTGGCTCAACTGGTAGGATCCTTGTCATTTATGTGAGAGACCCAGACTGAGTTCTGGACTTCTGGCTTTGGCCCCAGGCCAGCCCTGGCTGCTGTGGGCATTTGGAGAATGAACCAGCAGACAGGAACTCCGTCTCAGCTACTGTCTATTTCTGTGTGTGTTTGTGTAGAGGGAGTGCCTGCCTTTTCAATAAAATAAATATATTTCTTAAAAACTTCATAATTGATGATGCAAAGAAAGATAAAAAGTTGGAAGTCTGCAATGTTGACAATACACAAGCAAAGCAAAAGACTTGGAAGAAAATTGCTTTTCCTTTGCATTGTGATGTAATGAAAGCAATATTGACTACGTTGTTAGATCAGGATTTAAGTACTCTGATTGCCCTTATTAGCTGCATGATCTAAAGCAAAATAATTAGTTCTCTGGGCCTACACAGAGCTTCAAAAGTGTATTTTGTTAAGTTACAGCTCATAACACAGTGCTGAGGATTGCAGAAGATAGTGTTTATGTAAAATTTTATACAGAGAATTATTTTTCATGAATGAAGATCACAGATTTAAATAACTTTCATGGCATGAGTGTTGTGGCCCAATGCATTAAGCCCCTGCCTGCAATGCCAGCATCCCATATGATCACCAGTTCAAGTCCTGGCCATTCCACTTTCAATACAGCTCCCTGCTAATGCACCTGGGAAAGTAGTGGTAGATGGCCCACATGCATGGGCTCCTGCCACCCATGTGGGAGAGCCAGATGCAGTTCCAGGCTCCTGGTTTTGGTTTGACTCTCTCTCTTTCTCTCTCTCTCTCTCTCTCTCTCTCTCCTTTCTTCCCTCCCTCCCTCTCTCCCTCTCTCTTTCTGTATCTCTGCCTTCCAAATAAATAAAAAAATAAATCTTTTAAAAAATATCTTTCATGGCCCTGTTTAAAAAGAAAAAGGAATGGCACAACAACAACAAAAGCAACAAAATCAAGCAGATAAAATAAAATGACATGATGTAACTCCCCAGGTACTGCAAAATCCCATGTAAAATGTTATTGGGAATCCTCTACAGTCTCTTGAAAGTCCCAGCCAGCCAACTGTACAGGTTCATCAATGTCATTTTATTTTCCTAGCAATAATCTGAGTCCTTCCTTTTCTGATTTCACCCATACCAATTCAATGAGATTCTCTAATATAAGAAAACTGAGATAATTTTTCTCCTATGAATAGAACAATAATCTGTGTCTTTAATAACAAAATTAAATAATCTTAAATGTACTCTGTTTACCAAAGCAGATGAAACTAAAATATATTTTAGAACTATGACCCTTGAAACACTTTCTAATGGCTAACTTGGAAATATACAGAATAATCCATTATCTACAATAATAGAATACCCCATTTTACAGATGACAGCAAGTTTATTGTACATGTGAAGAAGTCCAACTCGAAAATCGGGCTGTTTGTGGACAGGTATATTTAATTTAACCTTGATTAATCAGTTGTTTTTACTTAGAGACACTATGGGCTTGCTTATGATCTTATCTCATTGAAATGTATTGCATCATTCCCTTGATACCAATTTTTCATGGACATCTAATTTCTCAAAATAACGTTATTAAATTTTTTTAAGTAAAGATCAAATGAATACAGAAAATCTATGCTGTCAGGGATAACTAGAGTGTATTGAAAGTTTTCTTTTTGCCCTCATTTATACTACCAGAAAAAACACAGGGAGGGAATTGGTGACAGACAAGCCCAGGCCACGGCTCAATCTGCACAATCTCTCCCAGATGATCTCAGGATAAGAATAATTGTGAGTGATTCTGGCCAAGGCTCTAGGAACACATCATGTAGGTACTGTTTTTCAAAAATTCCACAGATCTGTGGCAGTGACTATTTATACAGAAACAAGGACAAAGAATATTTATGAAACAATTCACATTAAGTGTTATAAACAAGGTCATGATACACTGTGGTTGACCAGAATTATACATACAAACCCGGTTCAGGATAGAAAAGCATAAGCATTCTGCAGAATGTAATCTGTCATTTTCATGAATTTGTTGATTGCTACAAATACACTCTAGATTATCAATAAATACATACATAGAAAATAGAAAGGAAGGACCTGCACTATGGTTCAAGAGCTGTTCCACTTCCAATCCAGCTCCCTGCTAACATCCTAGGAAAGCAGCAGAAGTTGGCCCAAGTGTTTGGGCCTCTGCCACCCATTAGGAGACATGGAAGAAGCTCCTGGCTTCCACCTGATTAAGCACCAGCCATTGTGGCCATTTGGGGAGTGAACCAGCAGATGAAAGATATCTCTCTCTCTCTCAATCTCTCTTTCTCTCTCTAATTCACCTTTCAAATAAATAAATCTTTTTTTTTTAAAAAAGGAAGCTAAATGGAAAGTTGATTTAAAGCAACATTCCAAGGGAAGATTTTCAAAGCACATCTCAAAATGTTAAACTATTGCCTTTTGAAAATGGTACAAATTTTCAGTAGAATACACATAAATGAGTCTATACACTATTTGATACTTTTCAGAGTAATTTTTATGAGTACAGTGAACTATGATAGGATTAGTAGTAAGGATGACATGAATAAGGTTAACAAGCAACGACTTTAAAAAATAAGTAAAAATATTCGTAGCTTGGTTCCTTCCCATATCTACCTTTCTCCCCACTTTCTCTTAAATCTTCCTCTAGTTCCAAAGAGTATTTTTTATACCATTGTTTTGAGTATCTTTACAAATTTAGGGAGAACAGTCAGTAATTTCCACAGATATCAAATACTTCACAGTTATGGACTTCAACTTTTAAAAGTTATGTTTACACACGTCTCTATTTTAAAGCAATGGCTTTATTTTTCTTATTAAAAATATGGGGGAAAGAGTGAGGATTTGGTGCAGTGGTCAAGCCACTATCTGGGATGCCTGACTCCCATGCCAAAGGGCCAGCATTTGAGTCCCAGCTCACTCCAGGTTACAGTTTCCTGTTAACACGTACCCTGGGAGGCAGCAATGACAACCTAAGGAAGTGGGTCCCTGCCAGCCAGGTGAGATTGAGTTCTGGGCTCCTGGCTTTGGCATGGCCCAGTACTAGCTGTTGCAGGCATCTGCGGAGAGAACTAGAGGACTGGAGATAGCTCTCTCTTTGTCTCTCTCCACCCTTTCTCCATAACTGCCTTTCAAATAAATAAAAAATAAATCTTTAAATTAAAAAAACTCCAAATTTTCCTCTAATATGAGAATTATCAACTAGAATGAAAATTCTTAAAATGGACACTAACTTGGAGTGATTTTATGGATTTTTCTCAATTATATGCTGCTAATAATAGCATCTAGTATGTATTGCATCAGACATAAACTGTGTTTAATCTTTATTACAACTTTATGAGATAACTACGAGGATTCTTTATTTAACAGATGAAGAAGATAGGTTTAAGTGGAGTCAAGAGTCTCGTCTAGTGTCCCACTACTCCCAGGTGACTGAGATCTGGACTCTGGTCTAACTGATCTCCCTGTATTTAGTTAACGATCATTCCCCTCCCTGAGTCTTGACTAACTCACGTATCTGAGGAAAATGCAGCGACGATTTTCTAACGAGGAGCTTACAATATTGCTGATGTTTGCTGCAGGATTTTTCTTTGAATTAAAAGATTTGGATTTTAGAGTAATGTTTAAAAGAAACTTTAAAAATTCTTTAAAAATTAAATTAGTAAGTATTAGTACCTTTATATCATGTAATTTTCAAAAAGGTATGAGGGGCCAGCGTTGTGGCACAGTGGATTAAACTGACACCTATGATGCTGGCATCCCATAGGGGCATCAGTTCCAGTCCTGGCTGTTCCACTTCCAGTACAGCTCCTTGATAATGTGCATGAGAAAGCCGAGGAACATCGCTTAAGTGCTTGGTTCCCTGCCACCCACATGGGAGACCCAGATGAAGCTCCTAGCTCCCGGTTTCAGTCTTGCCCAGCTCCGGCCGTTGCAGCCATCTGGGGAGTGAACCAGTGGATGGAAGCTGTCTCTGCCTCTCCTTCTCTCTCTCTCTGTGACTCTGCCTTTCAAATAAATAAATAAAAACAAACAAAAAAAGATGTTTTGAGTTCCTTGGACTCTTTGAAGGAGATACACTGCTTTATGATATGCAAATTCACTAAAATTTTTGAGACAGTTTGGCTCAAATGCAACCAAAAGATGGAGCAAAAATTCTATGTGACTTTTAAAATGCCATTTATAAGGTGGTGTATATAAGTGTTCTTTTTTACACTAATAAATTAATTATGATAGCTATTATTATGGATATGAAAAGAAACAGATTGAAGCTAGCCAAATTCTAATAAAACTATTTAAGCTGGAATATTGAGGAGGGAGTAGTTTCAAACAAGTAAATTTTACTTTTCATTAGTGCCATGTGTGTAACAAGGATCCTGAACACAGTTCCTTGCTGCTGTTGTAACACATAATAAGAATGAGGATCCCATACGCCTTCCCTCCAGGGACAACCAAATGAGGCCCAAAAGACATTTGCCCAGTGAGAAAAACTGTTCTTTTTCTGACTTCTGGTCACTGCCACGCTTCTCTGTTGACAGGTGCTGCTTGTTGCTCATCACCAGTGGCTGCTGCTTCTGGGCACACACCTCTGCTTGCTGTCTCCACCACATCGCGTCTGTTTTTCCTCTTTTCCTTAGCTGTTCTGTCTTCAGCTGTTTCTGCTGCTCTCTTGGCTTTCACCCCACAAATGTAGAATTTTCTGAACTTCACCAGCCCACCATAGCAATTTTCTTTTCTTGTTGATGAAATAGATGGGAAGAAATTCTTGTTTGAGCTTCCTTCTCTTTACAAATATTTTCTTTGTGTTAGGCATTCTGGGCTTTCTTGCTCTGAAACATGTTTGTTATGTCTACAGCTGGGATCAAAGCCATTCTGGTGCTAAGAGTTTGACTTGCATCAACTTGGATAAACTGGAACTACATTCCCCAGAATTTTTTTCTCTACTTATTCTTAGTTATCATGGTACACAAGAAATATTTTGCACAGAAAGCCAGAAGAAAAAGACTGACTGTATTCCCTTACATTCACAAGGTCAGCAAGGGCTTGATGAATTTTATGCATATCTATGATTAATATTATTAGTAGTATTAAAAAAAAACAGAATGACAGAGAGAGAGAGACAGAAGTCTTCCTTCTTCTGATTCATTCCCCACATGGCTGCAACAACATGGTTAGAGCTAGGAGCCAGAAACTTCTGGTTTCTCACAGGGTGGCAGGGACCCAAGAACTTGGGCCATATTCTGCTGCTTTCTCGGGTACATTAGCAAGAAGCAGGATCAGAAGCAGAGTAACTGGGACTCTAATGACACTCCCACATGGAATGATGGCATCACGAGCAGTAGCTTAACCCCACTGCATCACGACTCCAGCCCCTATCTTATGCAGACCTGTGTTTATCTGTGGCCTTACGGAATGGCAAGAGGCAGCAGCTGGGCCAACAGCATCTCCAGCTTCGGCTGGACCGCCCTAGTATCTCTATCTTGAGCCAAGTGCCTAGCATTTGGCTCAGCAGTTAAGTCACCTCTTGGGCTGCCCAATCGTCCTCAAACATAAAAATGTTCTAAACTTTAGGTCTGACTAAGAAAATCATTTGGCAACCTGTAAAATATAGCAGTAAGCTTATGCTCATGGAATTTAGTGGTCTTATCATATTCCCTGTCACTCTGAAGTGGTTTGCTGGACAAATAGTGGAATGGATTTTTGAAGTTTGGGTTTTGATGGCAGCAGGGTAGCAAGTCCTTGCAGGATGGTAAGGGTCTCTGGAACAGAGTATATGTGAGAATTCTCAGACACTAGTACAAATATGATTCTGTTTCTCCCCTGGTCACGACTCAGGGGTCTGGAAATCAATAGGTACAAATGGACTGATTCTTTACCACTAATGATCTACTAATAAAAAATTTGCACTTTGATCTTTTTTGCCTGAAGGGAGGTCTTAACTACCAAAGGAGGAAGGCTGCCATCAGTGAGACACGGCAGTGATACCATTGCACTGGAAAGTTAGACTTTTACCAGTTTTTAAACTTCTTACATCAGGGAATCAACGTACAGTGGTTGAGTTGACCAATGCTAATATCAAGAAGAAAATAAATTACTACTTCAGAATGATGGGAGGAAGCAATAAGTTGGGAAGATAGAAGATCCTCTGGGGAATCTCTTAGCGCTTCCAAGGTGATGAAACATAATATACTGCAAGAACTTTGGGATTGAACAGTATTTAACGTTACGGTCCATATGTAAGTTATTTTGTTTCAAAGGACAAATGTGACTCAGCTAGAAAAGAATGAAAATCACCAAAAGATAAAGGGATTTGCTATCTTCATTGGGGGAGTGTTAGTATGTTTATAATTGTTTAAGGCCTAATTAGGTTGTATTAGGTGGAAGCATTCTTCTATTATCTTCATTTGGATGTTATCATTGTTAAAGGATATGTATTGAATGCCATGTACACAAAGGTTAGACTGTGATGGATTTATATTATGTCAACTTAGTTAAATTGGAACTTCAATTTTTATACCTGCCTTTCTTGGCATAGTTTAGAATTAACATGAGCCACAAAGAACATTTTGCACAAGATTTGAAAGGGGCAAACACATTCCTCAGGAAGTCATTCCAGGGAACAAGGCACTGTTGCAATTCACACACACCGGCACTTACCTGCTAAACTCACAGGATTGGTGTGGTGCAGCAGCTGGGCAGTGAGCGCTGAAGGCTCCCGCTGGGTCTTCCGACTCAGCTTCTCAGGCTTCCGAGTCAAGTGCATGTTTAGCTCCCAGGCAAAGGACCCCAGTTTTTCTTCGAAAGTTTCCCACCCAAGAAGTTAGAGGTTTGGAGGCAGAGACAGAGACAGACAGGAGTTCTAGTCCTTCCTGTGGTTTCCACCTTAGTTTCACAGGTCCCTGCTTTTCTTTGCTTCCCCCACTTCATGTCCATCTCACCCTTGGGATTGCCTTTTATGTGAACTTCAGACTCCACACCAGACACAGAAACAAGAGCTTCACATAGATTTTGTAAATAATACCCACAGTTGTTTTCTAAGATCAAGCTCCTATAATAAATCCTTATTTTATGTGTTCATATTTATTAGCAGTCCTATTTGACCGATGCTCCTACGTGTGGAAAGCCTCAAAGCTAGGTAATCAGGGTATTTCCACATCGCCTGTGCGGCACTCAAGGGCTTTCTGAAACATGGAGGGTGAAGTGAGAGCAGGTTCTTGCCTTCAAACATCTGTCAAGTTAACGTAAAGGCACACTTTCCTTAGCCATCTTTGATTTTCAACTATGTCGTGTAGTCAAACGTCCATAATCTCTTGCAACAATTTTCATGTTATTCTCTTAGCTGAAGGAGTTGAATTAGATAAGCCACTGACCCCAGAATGTGCTTTGGAAATTACTTTTACAAGCATGTTCACCACCTGCGACTGCTTTGTCATTATAGGTTTTTGTTCTTTAAAAATTGTGCGCAGAAAAATAAAGTGCTTTTAGGAAGCTAGTAATTTGATTCTCAAGAATTATCATCTCATGATATAACTTAAAGCCTATTCCAGAAACAGAATACTTGAGAGAAATCAAAAGAGTGGCTGAAAATTACACTTCAAGTTATATTCAGGCTAATAAAGAAAATTTGGAGGTCCAGCACTGTGACGTACCAGGTAAAGCCACCATCTGTCGTTCAGGCATCCCATATTGGCGCCGGTTCGAGTCCTGGCTTCTCCACTTCCCATCCAGTTCTCTGCTAATGTGCCTGGGAAGGCAGAAAAAAAAAAAAAGTGGCCTAAGTGTTTGGACCCCTTTATCCACATGGGAGATCCAGAAGAAAGCTCCTGGCTTCTGCCTTTGTACTGGCCGAGCTCTGGCCATTGTGACCATTTGGGGAGTGAACCAGTGGATGGAAGACCTCTCTCTCTTGGCCTCTCCCTCTTTCTCTCTCTCTTGCTCTCTCTCTCTCACTCTGCCTTTCAAATAAAATAAATAAATCTTCAAAAAAAAGATAATTCGGCAAAAATCAAGCAAGAACTCTGCAAAAAGGAGACTATTTTTCTAGTTAAAAAATCCATGTCTATAACACCAATTCTGATTTTCATATGTTATTGGAAAAACTCCCCAGCCTTCTCATCATACACCACTAGCTATGATGGTAGTTATGAATCATCCAAAAAAATTGTATCAAAGTCCATTTGTTGGGGCCAGCATTGTGGTGCAGCAGGTTAAGCTTCTGCCTGTAGTGCTGGATCTCATATAGGTGCCTGTTCGAAACCCAGCTGCTCCACTTCTTATCCAGCAACCCTGCTAATGCACATGGGAAAGAAGCAGAGGATGGCCCAAGTGTTTGGGCCCCTGTACCCACATGAGAGATCTGGAAGAAGCTCTAGACTTCTGACTTCAGCCTGGCCCATCCGCGGGCCTGTTGCAGCTATCTAGAGAGTGAACCAGTGAATGGATGGATGATCTCTCTCTCTCTCTGTCTCTCCTCCTTTCTTTGTAACTCTGCTTTTCAAGCAAATAAAAAATAAATCTTTAAAAAAATCCATTTGCCTTATTTGATTTTTCTGCATGTCATTTAGCTAATTATCATTTTTAATTCTTACAGGAAAAACCCAAGGAATTCTGTAAACATGTTCATTATTCAGTATACATATGAGTCTTGAATTTAACTAAAATTTAGTAGGATTTCCCTTTCATATGATTTCAACCTACACCAAAAAAAATTAAAGCACATTTGGGGCCAACATTGTGGCATAGCAGGTTAAGCTGCTGCTTGTGATGCCGACATTCCATGTGGTTGCTGGTTGGAATCCCAGCTGTTCCACTTCCGATCCAGCTCCCTGTTAATGCACATGGGAGGGCATTAGAGATTGTCCAAATCTTTGAGCTTCTATACCCACATGGGAGACCTGGAAGAAGCTCCTGGCTCCTGGCTTCAGCCTCACCCAGCCCTGGCTATTGCAGTCATATATATATATATATATATATACATACATATATATATATGATCTCATATATATATATGAGATCAATATCTCAATCAAATTTTTCATCAAAATCAAGACTTACAGTTTTTAGATGATTATAAAATAACATCAAAATGTAAAGTACCACACAGCTTTAGTTATTTAAGGTAAATTTTAAAATAATAGTTTCCCCATATGTTTTTTTTTTTTGTTTAATTCTCTGCAGGAATAAAAATTGTACTTAGTAGGTCAGACATTCCAGTTAAAACAATCAATTCTGTCTGTTTTCAAGACTATTTGAATAACTGCAGAATATCCAAAGATGCTTTTTCCATATGTGCTTAGCCACAGTCATGGTTACCGGCACTTACTGCCAAGGGGTTCTTTATGCCGACATTATGGTGCGTCTAGCGGATAATAGTTATATACAAACTAAATGCTATTCTTGGGGCTATTTTTCTCAGGAACATGTACAACCATCAGGCTAATTAACAACAGGTGAAAAAAAGGAGAGTGAATCTTCTAGACTCACAATGTGGGTAAGACCCAGGAAAGAAAAAGCAAAGTACAATGTTATCGACTTCAATTCACCTGTTGTTTGGGCCACCTGAAGGTCATAATCTCATACTTCTCAGAGCCCAGTTTCCCAATAACAAACTCCCACTAAATACATGTATGCTATGTGAGTCTAGTCCTGAGAAATACCCAGAGGAAAACACATCTCAATCTTCCACGTATGCAGTTACCTTTTCATTGCTCCTGAAAAGCTTTTCCCAAACCACAGCTTCCCAGGTGTTCCCAGGAGGACTTTTCTCTGTCCCACAACTCCTGAAAAAGTTATACCCTAATAAGCCTTTAATTAAGGTTTTTCTGGCTACATTCAATATGCATGCTTTGTGACAACTGTGTAGTAATGTCCACCTTAGGAATTACTTGCATGTTCTGTATCTTATTTGATATTTACAAGAATTCTCTTGGGTACCCTTTGTAGATTATGAATTTCCTCCTTGTAAATCTTATTGTGATCTTTCAGTACCAGAAAACATTGTCCAATCTATTTTTTAAAGATTTATTTATTTATTTATTTGAAAGTCAGAGTTACACAGAGAGAGGAGAGGCAGAGAGAGAGAGAGAGAGAGAAAGAGAGAGAGAGAGAGAGAAAGAGATGTCATCCATCCAATGGTTCAATCCCCAATTGGCCACAACAGTTGGAGCTGCGCTGATTCGAAGCCAGGAGCCAGGAGCTTCTTCCGGGTCTCCAACATGTGTGTAGGGGCCCAAGGACTTGGGCCATCTTCTACTGCTTTCCCAGGCGATAGCAGAGAGCTGGATCAAAAGAGGAGCAGCCGGGACTAGAACCGGTGCCCATATGGGATGCCGGCGCTTCAGGCCAGGGCATTAACCTGCTGTGCCACAGCACCAGCCCCCCAACCTATTTAAATCCAGAACCTTTAAGCATTTTACACACTGTAAATTCAGAACGCCTCTCTGAGACAGGAATTTTACCTAATTTCTATTTTATGGGGGAAAAAAGTCAAAACTTGAAATGGCATAATAAGTTCCAGGAAAGCAAATATTAAAAATAAGCCCCAAACTTCTGTACCCAAGATTGTCACAAGAGCTGAGGTTAATCAAGGCACTGTGAGCTCTCGCTGTGAGAATACCCTGCCATAGGTGTACCCAGTCTCTGGGTTCCAACCGGATCCATTGAACAGGTATTAGGGGCCCTGGAATCTGCATCTTGACAAATTCCTCAAGCTACTCTTCTGCACACTTCTGTTTGAAGATCAGCATACTGGCCAAGTTTCACTCCCTAGAGATTAAAGAAGCGACTGGAGACATCACAAATACCGCAAGAGTCAAGATCCGTCACAGAAATACATAAACTATTAGGGTGTTATGTGAACCACACACAGCTAAAATGAGATCAACTGGAAGCAAATAGTTTATGCCACTGGATTAGTTGTGTCCACATGCTACTATTTGATGTTGTAGTATCTTGTTTTATTCACCTATAAAATGCAACTAATACTTGAGTGTTCTCAAAACGTGAAGATTAACCCAGTGGCAGTAATAAATGAGTTGATGTGTGCAACTCTAGGGTAATAAAAGAAAGGATTATAGGGAATAGCTCATGAATCTCATTTCCCATCCCTGAGAACATTGTTACTTGTATTTCAACTAAAAGCAAGGTATTCAAACAGAGAAATAATAGTGCTGCCTTTCAAAACTGGCAGCAGTTAGAATAGGTCAGCAAATTTAATGGCAAATAGGTCACACTGTCTACAACACTCTTATTTGCTTGGGAACCCCACAACAGGAGCTGCCACGACCTGCCTGGTTCTGGTAAGTCTTTGTCTGGATGATTGGATAATTAGCAAGTACATTGCACCCGGGTGAGAACTACAGTTTCAACAGCTGATCTTAGCAAAGGAAAATATATATTACTACCTCTCTCTTAATAGTAGCTCTGATTAACCATAATAAAATATGTGACTAGTAATTTCAACAGCACATGAATCCCTGAAATTATTTCTTGCTAGGACTAAAAGAGTTTTAGATTAAGAGCTCTTAATTTAAACTTGTAATTTGGGTTTAAACTATTCATTATAAAAATCAAGTCAAAGCTGAGAGAAATTATCCAGGCTCTAGGGAAAATAGATCCTTTTTCATGATGAAAGATTTTTTCCCTCAAGTGAAAAACCACTGGAGTCATACTCTCACCATTTCTACTTTCTACTTTCAGATCTATAAAAACAGGCACCTCTGACAACAATTTTGAAAAGTGGCTGCGTTTTATGCGATATATACCGAATGGCCAGAAAGAACTTTCTATGTTGAAAAGTGCCTTTTGGAAAGAACAAATATATTCTTTTTTTTTTTTTCTGTACGACACTAAATTACATTGTGAGGGGTCAAATTATCCCTCTAAAATGTTTATGTTATGTGAAATCTATCTAGATTCCTTTTTACTCAACCCTAGGGATCCAAGCTTGTAAATCTATACTTAATAGAGCAAGTTCTCTGCTTTATAGAGTAGTCACCTCCAGAAATCCCACTGTTGCCATGCGGAGTATGACAATGAAGTTCAGCTTTTGTTCTCGACTCCTACTGAGCTGTCTTGCTACCCAAGGAGTACACATCTGTTATCCTAGCGTTGTGTATGAAGAGACACCGGCATATGCTATCAGAATATTCAGCTAAAAAAGTGTACGGAAGAGAAAGTCCTTGGGAGTAAGTCACTCCAAGTATCTTTCTGTTTCTGAAAAATAACTCATGATTAGGAAACCAGTAAACACCTCTGGGAAAGACAAGATCTTATTTTTTTCTTTGATGCTGCTTTATGGAATATACAGCAGTGGATGTTTAGTATAAACCAGCCTTATCTTTTTCCTTTTGTTATATTTTATGGTAACTCCAGAAAAAAAGGTTGCAGTGGATACAAATGGGTACTGGCATAGGCTCAAGTTTTACAAAAGCACATGAACTACCTTGATGATCTGCTGAATCAAGAAAACCCTGTTTGTTGGGTCTTTCAAACAAAGGCTCTAACAAAGTGAGGCCTGAGATGCTGCTGTCTTGTGACAACGGCTGTGAATCACTGATAGAAAAGCATGAGAACACAGCCGGCAGACTTAATTATATATCATTACCCAATATGATGGCAACGTTTTAGGTATGAATTAAACCTTTAGTGGTGAAGACTTGCATCATTTTGGAATCTTAGTCAATCCGATGATTTTCTTTCAAATCCATAGTCAAAACACTTATTGTTCAGTTAGGAGGAGTTGCAAAATTTCTTTCTATTCATTTTTCAAAAACACTAGGAGAAGAGAGTAATTCTTTTTCTGAAAGTGAAAGAGAAAATTTTATTAATAGTAGGAGATGATATTCATACCAAGAAAGAAAAAATACATTTTTCAGAACTCAGAACCATGCAATAGAAGCCCTGGGGCCCTTTGGTCTCGCCTCCTCACTGCAGTCCGGGCTTTATCCAGGCATTCGTTAAAGGTAAAGCCCAACTTAACTCTCTGGAGTCAGATCCCAGTTGCTCACCCTTTCCACAGGATTTTTGTCTGATGCCAGAACACGGCGTGGATATGAAGAAAAAAAGCCCCGGTTTCAGAACTGGTACCAATCTCCTCTTCCTCTTCTCCAGCAGAATTCGATGTGTGAGACCCAAAGAGTGTGCTACTGGGGACTTGTAAAGATAAAGAAAACTTTTTAAAAGTCACTGGCTGTGGAAATGCATTTAGTTGCAAGGTCCTATGAGGGTCCAACCTTTCAATCCTCCCTTGAGAGAGGAGCGAGTCTAAACAAACATCACAAATGGGTATCCTCACAGATGAGACTGGGCCCCAGCCAACATTCATAGTTTGTCCCACTTACGTGTCTATTGTAATTTGAAAGGTTTAAAGTGTACCCTTTCTGCCACAGGCTTGCCCCTGACTTATTTAAATGTCAGATTTCAAATTCTAGAAACCTGATTTCCATGTTTCAGCGATCAGACAATCCTAGGCCAGCTTTCCTTCAGGTCCCAAGCCCTGGTTCTCAGTTACGTCCTTCAATCCCTGTGAGAGGAGGTAGGAACTCAAGAAGCCAGTGTTTTATACCCAAACCTGCCTGAAGCATTGGTGTTACTCAGCAAGCTCTAGCAATTTGTAAGAACTAGAATGTATGTATGAGGACCCATTTCAATCAGCTTAAGTAGATTTTTCTTTGATTTTTATCATTAAGGTTTCTTGGAAAATAGATTTTATCAAATTTTGCAATCTTTTCAAATTTATTCCCATGTTCCCATAGTCCTTAGGCATAGAAAGTTCTCAGCTAAGGTCAATATAACTTTCTTCTATAGACGCAGTATATTCTATCTCTTGGTGTGCAAAAAATAGCTACCCCTTGCCAAAACGTTTCAATAACTTTTATGGAGTCAATTTTAAGAAAAGATCCTTCCTCTTTATAGACCTCATAATTTACCAATATAAACCAGGCTAATATTTTGCTCTGGGGAAAAAACCAGGGAGGAATACAAAACTTACAGTAATATGAAGACCAATCCATGGCCAGGCTTCCCTGGTCTTGCCCCATCCCTCTTGGTTCTGGCATTATCAGAAGAGCCATATGGATAGAACTGTAACTTCACCCTCAGTGAAACATGTTGAATTTCTCACTAAAGTGCAGATAGAACCATTCATTTCGACCGCATCTCCCACATTTCTGTCTAAGGAAAAATATGGAACATGAAATCCATAAGACATTTCATCTCAATGTGCTATATCTGGCCTCGGTGTGGGACTGCTTCATTATCACCATAATGTAACTGACACGAAGGAGGAGGCAGAGGAACAGATGAGGTGCCCTTTTGTCTCTTTAGTTGTGTGAAACAAGTGCAGCTTTTTCTCCTCTGACTGAAACTACGTTGTTATTTTAGCCTTTTATCCCAGGACTATTTCCCAACTTTAATTGTTGTTGCTGTGCTTCTCCAGGGACTCCCACGGTTCCTTCCAGAATACTTACTAACAACCAGCATTAACTTCTGCGTCCTCCTGGGCTCCCCAGACTTCGCCTTTTCTCTGTTCCAATCATATTAAGGGAAAGTTATTGTTGTTTCCTTTTTTTTTTTAAAGATGTATTTATTTATTTGAGAGGCAGAGTTACAGACAGAGAGAAGAAGAGGTGGAGAGAGATCTTCCATCCACTGGTTCACTTTCCAAACGGCCACAATGGCTGGAGCTAAGCCGATCTGGAGTAGAGCCGATCCACAGCCAGGAGCCTGAAGCTTCTTCCCAGTCTCCCACATGGGTGCAGGCTCCCAAGCACTTGGGTTGTCTTCCACTGCTTTCTGAGGCCATAGCAGAGAGCTGGATTGGAAGAGGAGCAGCCAAGACATGAACCACCAGTGCTCATATGGGATGCTGGCACCACAGGCGGCAGTTTTATCTTTTATCTGCTACACCACAGTGCCTGGCCCGCTGTTGCTTTATAAAGTAGATACAGCTGTCACGTGTCTTTAAAGTTTCTGTTATTCATTCTACTAGCTCCTTCTCTAAAATGGATAACTGTAATTTATGTAAGCATTTCTGACCAGGTAGACTTTCCTCATATTTGAATGCATCTATATTCCTTTTCTCTTCATAGCTAATTCAGGTTCTTTAAATGTTATTTGTTTTTGTTTTTTGTTTTTTTTTAAGATTTTATTTATTTATTTGAAAGTCAGAGTTACACAGAGAGAGAGAGAGATCTTCCAACCATTGGTTGACTCCCCAAGTGGCCACAATGGCCAGAGCTGTGCCGATCGGAAGCCAGGAGCCAGGAGCTTCTTCCAGGTCTCCCACGCAGGTTCAGGTGCCCAAGGATTTGGGCCATCCTCCACTGCTTTCCCAGGCCACAGCAGAGAGCCAGATTGGAAGTGGAGCAGCGGGTCCCGAATCAGCACCCATATGAGATGCCGACACCTCAGGCCAGGGCATTAACCCTCTGAGCCACAGTGCCAGCCCCTAAATGTTATTTGTTATACCCAAAACCAAACAAAGCACTGTGATAAATGTAAAATAAAGTTCTTAGCTACACAAACTGTGATAAGAAGTTTATCCATGAAAGAATTACCTCATGTTTACTGTGGGGAGCAACCGGACTAGACTGAGTTACTGGAATTAAGACTTATTCTATGCATCTGCTCTCCCACAATATGGCGCTGGGAGAGAAGTAAACAGCTTCCGCACAGCTGCCTCCAGTTCAACTAATAAACTGTAGGACTTGCTATTGATTGGAGGAGAGCAGCGTACTCGGCGTGTGGGCAGCCGAGTTAGGATTGGCGGAGGAGGACTATAAAGGAGGAGAGAGACGGCATGCACGAGGAACATCTATGGGGAACATCTAAGGGAACCCGTGCAGCCCCCGAGAAAGCCGGCCGGCGGTGTGCCGCTCCCCTGCGGAAGTGGGGAATGTGGCCAGGGGGAACTGCCCTTCCACGGAGGTGGAAGGGATAGTAGCCAACCCGGGAAGAACCAGCAGCAAACCCGGGGAAGGCCGAGCAGACGAAAGAACAGCGCAGGGTCCTGTGTCGTTCCTCCACGAAGAGGGGGAGCGACATTTACTAATTATTCTTTTCCATTTGTATTCTAGAGCCATAATTTTTTATCATGGTCTTACATTGCTAGCTCAGGTTTGGTTTGTGACATACTGTGGATTCTAAATTCTTATTATATACAATTTCCCTTTCTCAACCTTGCCATGTCTAATATTATGTCTTAATTCATTATACATCTATAAGTTGTCAGTGTTCCCTATGTACCCATAATGTGTATATGTGTGCATAATTTTTGTGTTGTAGTTTATTTACAGTTTTTGTCCTCACTCCTAATTCCACATGCTATTACACTGAGCTAAGGATGAAGTCCATGCCCTATTAATTTGGTATCTCTAGTCACCAATACAATGTCTGGCAAGTGAAAATGTAACATAGATTCTTGTCAACTGAGTTACTGGCACACTATATTTTCTTGGGTTAGAATTTAATGGGATTGTATCAGACTTGACATGTGTGTTTAAAAAATGTTTTGAATACAAAGCAAATTTTTAAAAATAGCAGTTATATATATACAAAAAACACATACACACAAATGTATATGTAAACCATGGTGTGAATTCTGAAAATACAAAATGCAAAAAATCAAATATCAATATTTCATTCCATCTACCATTGTTAAGCTAGCCATTGGTTCTTGAGAATTGTTTTCAACCTTATATGCTGCCTATGTTTTCCATTTATTTATCTACAAGGAGAAAAACACAAATATATTAAAAAGAAAACCTGAGAGTGAAGAGGTATGATGTGAAAAGAAAGAAATCATGATGATAATGAAGTTTACAATTCCACCATGCTTGGAAAGTGTTTCATGAGATGCTACAAAAAGAGAAATGTGTTTATAATTTTGTATGCAAAGAAGACTATGTAACCAAAGCCTGTTAGTAGACCAGTGCAGTCTTGAACTAGGATTTTGCTTACACCATTTTAAAAATTCCTCTTGCATTCACATATTCTTGATAACTAGCCTTGAAAAGACAATTGTAGGGGTGGATATTGTGGTGCAGTGGGTTAAACCACAACTTGGGACACCCACAACTCATGTTGGAAGTATCTGGTTCTAGTCCCTGTTCCACCACTCTGATCCGGCTTTGTGCTAATGCATACTGAAGGCAGCACTTGGAGGCTCCAGAGCTTGGGTCTCTGCCCTCCATGCGGCAGACCTGGATGGAGTTGAGGACCCCTTCCCCTTGGCTGGTGCGGGCATTTGAGGAGTGAAGCAGCAGATGGAAGATATCTCTCACTTTCCCCCGACTGTCTCTCTTCCTTTGAAACAAATAATAAAGATTTTTTAAAAAGACAATTGCAAATCATCACCTAGTTTTTCTCTATTTCTTTCATCAAAGTAAACAATTGCTCTGTACTGATAAGTTTTGTGATTGCAAATGCATCATATTACTTTGTTTTAAAAGTGATTGTAGGGGCTGGAGCCATAGCATAGCAGGTAAAGCGGCTGCCTGCAGTGCTGGAATCCCAGCTCCTCCTCTTCCAACACAGCTCTCTGCTACAGTGTGGGAAAGCAGAAGATGGCCCAAGTCCTTGGGCCCCTGTGCCCGCATAGGAGACCCTGAAGAAGCTCCTGGCTCCTGGTACTCCCATTTGAGGACGGAGCCAGAGGATGGAACACCTCTGCCTCTGCCTCTCTATAACTCTGCCTTTCAAATAAGTAAATAAATCTTTTTTAAAAAAAATGAAAAAGTGATTCTAAATTGACCAAATTTTGCACAAAAATTTTACTCTGCTTTCCAGGAAAAAATCATTTTGAGACATGATTCTTACAAAGATTGATACATTTTCCTTCCAAACAGGGAACTCTTCGAAAATATTTAAATTGTGATTTTATTTATAAAAGGGAAGATTTCCAGCAATTTTCGGGAACACACATGCACACACACACATATACATATATGTAGATATATATAGATAGATATAGATACATTTTTACTAAAACTGGTGTCTTCGTATCTTTATTTCATCATAATTGAAAGATCTTTGTGTGTTCTTTTTTAGATTCATTCATTTATTTTGAAAGTCAGAGCTACAGAGAGAGAGAGAGAGAGAGATCTTCCATCCATTAGTTCACTCCCCAGATGTCTGCAATGGTCAGGGCTGAGCCAGGCTAAAGACAAGAGCTGAGAGCTTCATCCAGGTCTCCCACATGGGTGACAGAAGCCCAGGTACTTGAGCCATCTGCTGCTGCTCTCCCAAGTCATTAGCAGGGAGCTGGAACAACAGTGGAGCAGCCAGAACGCGAACCAGGGTCCATATGTGATGCTGGCATCGCTGGCTGCAGCTTAATTCACTATACCACAATGCCGGCCCCTGTTTTTGTGTTTTCTAATAAATTCTGAAAGGCTGACTTTATTGCATGACAAACTTGTAAAAAGAATTCAAAAATTGATTGGACTTTTAAAATTACTCATTATAATATGCTATAATTCCTTTAAATGAAAATATTTACTTTTCTAAATTGAAACCAAGAGGCAAGGATGAACTACTCGTTTTAAAATATGTTTAGTCAAATAGAAACATTTTAACTCAGAGGTATGTTAAAGTGCAAAACATAGTAGGTAGCTTTGGAAATAGCCCATAGAAGAGGTTGCTCATAAAACCATTCTTATATACCCAGAGACATTAAATCTGCTTTAGAACAACGACGTATAAAGTAACTGTTCTTTTGTGTTGAGGTTCTGTTTTATTAATTTCCAGATTTATGTAGCAACTGTTAGGCATAAATGTCCAATGAAGCTAACAATAAAATAATGTTTGAATAAAGAACTAATTCTTAGTAGACACTTGGCACTTCACTGTCTCCCCAAACATACCTTTATGTAATCTCCCATTCATAAGCATCCGGGTGTTAGCTACAAGCCATTAAAAATTATATTATGGGGTTTGGATTAGTCAATGAAGAGAGGTCTTTCCAAAGACTAAATTCTTCTCTGATTGTGAGAGTTTAGAAAAACTTGCCAAAATGATATGAACGTAAATATTCTTTAAGCTGGTTAGGTTTCCAGGGGATACTAGATGTACTTTGGTTTTTTTTTTTTTTTAATAATAAACTTTGGATTACAATGTAGTAATAGGACCTTGGCCTAAAGTGTTTACTTCTCACCTAAATCTGATGAATATGACCAATCAGAAAAATAAAAAGATATTAAATCACCTTAGAATGAACAATTTAAAGGTACTTAAGATATACTGCAGAAATTTCATTTGAGCTCTTGCCCACTACAAGCTTTGCTTTATAAAATATTCCTTCATTTCTGCCAAACCTTAGAATAAGCCTTGTAAAAACCATAAATATGGTGCAGATAAACAGTGGCAGCCTTACATAATGAGGCAGCCTTGCCAAATGGGAGTAAAAGAAGACAAGAAGCCTGCTTCCCACTAGGCAACATGTTCCAGGCCTAGCAAGCCTGAAGCACCATCATTCACAGCCCGCTGCAGAAGCTAAAGTTCATGCTGAGCTACTAGAAGAGAGAGACCTGCAAAGCCCTTCATAGCAAGAGGGCACCAATCTGTGTTGTTTCCTCTTCCCAATATCATCTAGTAGCGTGCTAGAGCCTGAGTAAAGATTTTCTATTACCATGTATATCAAAGTGCATCACACAAAATAGGTGCTTGATAAATGCTGGGTTGAATCACTTTTTGTGCCTTCAAATGAGCTTTTAAGGAATTACATGCTCCATGAACAGGATGGACACTCCATAGTGAAAAGTATGCAGGAACAGCACATTCTCCAAGGAGGTATCAGTTTGATTCAACTAGAACTAGATTCAACTAGAACAAAAAATGAAGTAGTTGCAATAGAAGTTAGCCATTAACAGCAATTCTAGAGAATAGGGTAGATGTTTAAGTAGAAAGACATCATGCTGACCAGGTAGAAAAACCATTAGCTTGTATTAAGCACTCTTCTTGAAGGAGCTAGGCTTTGTAGGACAAAACACAGATACTCTGACAGCTAATGACACCTCACTTCCCAGCTCCATCCCTTACTAGATATACAACCTCAGGAAAATCGGGTAATTTCTCTCTGTTTCATTTTCTTCCAAAATGGAGATTATAGTACTAGTCATTGTGTTGGGTGTCAATAGATATTAAAAGTTAATTTTGTAGCCGGCGCCGCAGTTCACTAGGCTACTCCTCCGCCTTGCGGCGCCAGCACACCGGGTTCTAGTCCCGGTCAGGGCGCTGGATTCTCTCCCGGTTGCCCCTCTTCCAGGCCAGCTCTCTGCTGTGGCCAGGGAGTGCAGTGGAGGATGGCCCAAGTCCTTGGGCCCTGCACCCCATGGGAGACCAGGATAAGTACCTGGCTCCTGCCATCGGATCAGCGCGGTGCACCGGCCGCAGCGCGCCTGCCGCGGCAGCCATTGGAGGGTGAACCAACTGCAATGGAAGACCTTTCTCTCTGTCTCTCTGTCTCTCTCACTGTCCATTCTGCCTGTCAAAAAAAAAAAAAAGTTAATTTTGTAAAGTGTTTAGAACTGTGCCTGCCAGTCATATGAAACAATGTATAAGTGTTTGTTAAATAAGTTCAGAAAACAAAAAGAACCCAGATCCCAGGAATAAAACATCAGTTTATTATATTGGAAAAGGGTGGGAAATGGAGTTGAAATCACAGACAAGAGATATCCATTTAAATCTTTTTTTAAAAGATTTTATTTATTTATTTGAGAGGCAGAGTTACAGATAGAGAGAGGGAGGAACAGTGAGAGGTCTTCCATCCGCTTTTGACTCTCCAAATGGCCCAATGGCCAGAGCTGAGCTGATCTGAAGCCAGGAGCCAGGAGCTTCTTAATTCACTATGATAAATGAAATGGATGAAGCACTTGGGCCATCTTCTACTGGTTTCCCAGGCCATACAAGAGAGTTTGATTGGATGTGGAGCAGCCAGACATGAACCGATGCTGATATGTGTGGGGAGCAACTCGGACTAGACTAAGTTACTGGAATTAAGACTTATTCTATGCATCTGCTCTCCCACAATATGGCGCTGGAAGAGGAGGAAACAGCTTCTACGCAGCTGCCTCTTGCCAACTTGAGTGATGACCTCCAGGAGCTGATCCTGCTCCTGATTGGAGGAGAGCAGCGTACTCGGCGTGTGAGTTGGGATTGGTGGAAAAGGACTATAAAGGAGGAGAGAGACAACATGCACCAGGAACATCTAAGGGGAACATCTATCTGAAGGAACACCTGTGCAGCCCCCGAGAGAGCCGGCTGGCGGTGTGCCGCTCCCCCGCGGAAGTGGGGATGTGGCAGGGGGAACCGCCCTTCCACGGAGGTGGAAGGGACAGTAGCCAACCCGGGAAGAACCAGCAGCAATCCCGGGGAGGGCCGAGCAGACAAAGGAACAGCGCAGGGTCCTGTGTTGTTCCTCCACGAAGACCGGGAGCGACAATATGGGATGCTGGCGCTGCAGGCAGAGGCTTAGCCTACTATGCCACAGCACCAGCCCCCATTTCAATCTTTTATAATTATTCATTTTTTCTTAATAAGTTGTTTTATATCAGTATTAGTAATATTTAATTTATTTTAATAAGTCATGCTCACTGTGTTGTATTTTATATTATACAATTCTATATACTTTTCAAAAGTAAGGGTTAATAGAGGAACCAATAAAATTTTTCCAAACACAAAATTAGAAAAAAAAAATGGAAAGATAAAACTGTCCCTTAGTATTTTTCTTTTCAATCATCTTTTTCTCCTTTGTAATTTGGCCCAAATTTGCTGGGAACTTTCTGAGTCTTACCCACTAGATCTGATTATAACTTAGAACTTTTAGGAGTCGTCAAGTTAACTAGCATTTGTATACTTTTTTAAAAATTGTTTTTATTTATGTATTTCATTAATTTGCAGGCAGTGGAACAGAGTGAGAGACAGATAAATATCTCCCATCAGTTGTCTCATTTCCCAAATGCCTGTAACCTAGACACTACTATGGAATTGGAATATGAACATCCCAAGCAGATTCCTACCTGCTGCACCAAACGCCTAACTTGTACACATTTTTATTTTACTATTACATGTGTTGACCATCAGTTATCATTGAGACATAATTCCGATAGCAAAGGTAATACTCGACAGTTTATATAAATCTAAGACCAAAGACATTTTAAGACATCTAGATAAATCCCAACTGTTGGGCTTTTGGATATGCCATTAAGGACTTTGGGATTCTGTTGCTAGTTTACGTTTGACCCTTCTGTCACTAGCTTTTCTGAATAATTTTTGCCCTTCTCTGTTTTAGTCTTTACAGCTGAGCATGATAGGAATAAAATCTTTCTGTCTATTATGAAGGTGTAATGAAACCAAATGAGACTGGGACAGGCACTGTGGCACAGCAGGTAAAGCCATTGCCTGCAGTGCTGGCATCTCATATGGGTGCCGGTTTGAGTCCTGGCTGCTCCACTTCTGATCCAGCTCTCTGCTATGGCCTGGGAAAGCAGTGGAAAATGGCCCAAGTTCTTGAGCCCCTGCACTCGTGTGGGAGACTTGGAAAAGCTCCTGGCTCCTGACTACTGGCTTTGGATCGGCACAGCTCTGGCTGTTGCAGCCAACTGGGGAGTGAACCAGCGGATGGAAGACCTCTCTCTCTCTGCCTCTCCTTCTCTCTCTGTATAAATCTGATTTTCAAATAAATAAATAAATAAATCTCGAAAAAAGAAAAGGAAATAAATCATATGAGATAACTCTGATTTGGAATTAGTGAAGAATGCTATATAAATCCAAGCAATGATTTTAAAAATATTTTAGATTTTTAAAAAAGATTTATTTATTTATTTTATTTGAAAGTCAGAGCTACACAGAGAGAGAAGGAGAGGCAGAGAAAGAGAGATCCTCCATCTGCTGGTTCACTCCCCAGTTGGCTGCAACGGCTGGAGAGGTGCCGATCCGAAGCCAGGAGCTTGAAGCCTGGAGCTTCTTCCAAGTCTCCCACATGGGTGCAGGGGCCCAAGGACTTGGGCCATCTTCTACTGCTTTCCCAGGCCATAGCAGAGAGCTGGATCAGAAGTGGAGCAGCCAGGACTCGAACTGGCTTCCCATATGGGATGCCCTCACTTCAGGTGGCAGCTTTATCCGCTATGCCACAGCTCTGGCCCTGAAAATTCTTTGTCTCTCTTTGTCTCTTTGCCTTTCATATAAAATAAAAATAAATACAACAAAATTTAAAACACATGACTTAAAAACATGTAGTCTGGCAGGGAAGGCAACATAAAAACATCTAACTATAAAATCATTGAGCAAGCACTACACTGAAAGCACAGCTGAGTGCCAAAAAGGGCCAAAGGGCAGTGGCTCAATCCAGAGGAGAAGACACGGGAAAGCATGGAGGAAGAGGTATCACTGGCTGTGGCCTACAAGTGAAGCAGAAAACTGTATTGTGTTCAGTATGAATTGTATTGTATGCAGTATGAAAATTATATTGCTTTCCTGTTATAATTCACATAGAAACAGGAAATGGTTAAGTGCCTCATTCAGAATTAAACATATATATGTGTACTTGGCTTTAGATTGGATGATCATGTTCCCTGCTACCAATAGATACTATTAAGAGCAATCGGAACAAATCGATTCTCTCATGGTTGAGGTTTAGATCTATCCTATTGATTATTTTGACAGGAATCTCCACTGAAATGTTTCTCAAAACTCTTCTATTTCTAGACCATGAAAATATGGCAGAGCAGATTAGCTTTCATATTTCCAAATTAATGAAAATATAAACGTTATACCCTCTTTCAGTGTATTGTTCAAGTGAAATGGAGAGCTCAATCCCTTGCAATCCACTGACTAGTTGCCATTTCTGCTACATCTGGATATAACTGATTCCAGGCAAGATCAGAAAATAGTTGATCTTTGGTGATCTACAATCTTTTCTTGCCCCCTCTCTGTCATCCTGAGAACATCACTCTTGTTCCCTTTCTTCAGAATTTTATTTTCCTTTGTCATACAAACTCCCTATCCCTGGTGCTACCTCTGGAAACACATAACCATTGCTATTTTAGTTTTTGACTAGTGCAGACCAAAAGCCTTCAAGAGATGTTAAAATAAATTTCTGATTTAGTGTTTGCATGGAAAATACTGGTCAGCCCACACTTGCTGGCGTTCTCCAGTTAACACCAGCTGATATTTCACGAGGCAGGTATCAGTGGAAGCACGTGTTCCCATTCTCCTGGGTTTCTCCTCCCCTCATCTCCTTTCATATAACTTTACTATTGGGCATAAACATAGTGTGGTTTGTACCCTACAAAGAGGTGTGGCCAGCAGCAGGGGACTAGCACCTGTTCTCCAGTCGGCTCAATACTTGCTGCCTCTGAGCAAATTAAGCTTGCTCAGCAGAGCCTTGCTCTCTAGGACTCCCACTCTGACTCCAGCTGATATCCATAAATGCAAAGACAGGAACACAGACCTCAAAGCAAAATGTTGGCTAGCAAAGAAAAACAGTGAGAAACAACTCTTGTTATAAACAGGAATGTTTTGGTTGTTTCTTAAATATCTCCCCAACTTCCTGTATCTACTTCACTGAGTAATAACTAAGAGGAAGCTTAAGAAACCCCTTGGAAGAAGGCGCTTTGGCACTGGGTGTGTACCTTGGGAGGGAAATCATGCTATGACAAGTCCATTCCTGATGTTTCAAATGCCTGTAGCAGTATCATACTGGCTTGGACCTGCTTCCTTCAACATCATTTTGGTTGCTAATTTAAGAAAATTAGACACCCCTTGTCATCTATAATAACCTCAGTCATCTTTGTTCCGGAGACCAGTCATGTTAGACATTGTAATAGGAGAAATGTTAACAGTGTCTGCGATTTCCTTAATGGATAATTTTACTCTTTGCAGTCACCGTAAATGACATTTATATTAGATCTGGTCTATGTTGCTTCGAAAATGTCTTCTGCAAAAGAAGTCTACAAAAATTTTCAGCATTTTCAGATTCTAGGGAAAAGCTTCATCTTGTTTCTGACAGAGATGTCAATTTCACATCTATGTGTTGACTGAGGGGCTATAGAGGACCTGAAAGCAAGAGATGGCATTTGGCTCAGACCTTGTGGTCCTGTGCCCTTACAGTCTTATGTCCTTCCTTAGTAGTAGAAATTTTCACAGCAGCAAAAATCTCTCTCTGGCCAGGCAGTTACAAACTGTCTAGTCTGTTTAAGAAAAACCCATGGCTTTTAAGACAAGGTTTTTCTTAAATTTAGACTGGGAATGGAGCACCCAAGGCCATTTCATTACAATGTTGCAAATTATCAGCAAAAAGTAATGGAAAAACCAACTGCTCAAATATATCAAGTCAGAAAGCTGCCTCCAAAAGTAGTCTTGAAACTGAGTGAATTTTTCAGGAGTGACAGCTTTCCTCAGGGAGGATACTTCAGCACAAAAAGCCTATAATTCCTGAGCAGTGCTCCAAAGAGATCAACTTTCCTTTTTATTGCTTTGTTTTGAATTTTTTTGGGTGGCACTGCAAATGTTTTGAGCATCTTTTTGTTCCCATCAGGGGGCTATGTATTTTTTTCTGTGGTATTCCAAGAGAGGGCAGCTGAATTTCATCTGTCCTGAGCATTTCCTGAACTGAACCAACAACCCCCAGACTCTGAGAAAAAAATCTCAGCCTCACTTATTTCCATGTGGCAGCCAGATTGCCAGCTTCCTTGATGATTCATCTGTCCTGGCTTGAAGGAGCCGGGGAGAGAAGTACCCTGGAGAAGTCAGGGCAGGGAGGTCTTTTATTTTTTTAATCCCAGCTTTGGCAAAGCTCAGCTGCAGCCTTAGAAAAGCTGTTAGACTTTCTCATCAGTTTCTTCATCAGCAAAATGGGAATCATCCTAGTATTATACTTAATTTTGTTTTCTTTCTGAAGTGCTTTGAAGATGAGAAGAGTTGCATTTATTTTGCTTACTAGTTTAAATTAATAGGGTCAGAAATGTGACACATCCTGTGTTTGGTGACACATCTTTGATTTTCTTGCTCTGCCCATTCCATTGCTTACATATTCAAATTCAACCTATCTTTTCATGAACAACTGTCTCCAATTAACTTTACTTATGGTGTTTAAATTCCAAAAGTTGACCATTAAAAAATCATGATAGACTTCAAGAAGTTTGCTCTAGTTATTTGCCATTTGGTAGATTGTTATTTCAGTCATCCAGGAAAGCTGATCACATGCCTAACAATTCCATCCAACTGCCAGAGATAAATTAAGAAAGGTCAATAAATAAGCAAGTTTGAAAATCAGAAAATTGAAATAGCAAGGCAAGTTTTTTAGATATTATTAAGTCATTGGAATTTAGCTGACTCCTAGAATGTCTCATTTTTATCAGATACTGAAATAATAAGGATGTGAGTGTGATCTGAATGTGAAATTCATCTCCTGTTGATTGCCAGTGTTGATTCAGCTGATGTGATTGGCTAGCCAATGTCATTTTCTTCCCTCACCACTCATGCATGTTTCTCTTGCAGCTGAGAGCTCCGTTGAATAGAAGGACCTGACAATGAAGAAAGACCATTCTTCAGTGAAGGATATCCAAGTAGCTGTGTAACCCCGCTAGAACCTCTAAACAAGCTCTAAAGACTGAGATAATAAAGTGCTTACTTTTCTTCCCAATGGTGGTCACTTGAGCTTCGTTTTGGACACAATCTTATATCATACACATTGAATTTATTTATACTATATATATATATTTATATATGTTGGGGGCTGGTACCATGGCATAGCCAGTAAAACCAATGCCTGCGTCCCATATGGGCACCAATTCAACTCCCGGCTGCTCCACTTCTGATCCAGCTACCTGCTAAAGTGCCTGGTAAAGCAGAAGATGGTCCAAGTGCTGATGGTCCAGTGTGAGAGAGCCAGAAGAAGCTCCAGGCTCCTGGCTTTGGATCGGCTCAACTCTGGCCATTGTAGCCATTTGGGGAGTGAACCAGTGGATGGAAGACCTCTCTCTCTCTCTCTCTGCCGCTGCCTCTCTGTACTCTGCCTTTCAATTAAATAATCTTAAAAAAAGAAAAATATATGTTATATTTAGTCCAAAATATTTATTTTGAATGTAATGAACATATGAAATATATGAAATGAAAGTTATATGTTTTGTCTTGACATTTTTATTAGATTTATAATATTCCAGCTAAGAATCAGAACAAAGAAATTTAGCCATAAAATGCACTAGAAAGAAGATGGGGGAAAAGAGCTTTCACAACTGGACTCAAAAACAAATCTCAGAGATTACTCAAAAATAGAATCTGAGGAAGTAGAACCAGATTTCATTTATGTTAGTCTCTTGTCCTGAACCCTACAATATTCTCAGACACATTAACCAATATTATACTCATTCGAAGTGCCTCAAAATTATTCACAATTATATTTCCCACATTTTTTTAAGATTTATTTATTTTCTTGAGAAGCATGGTTAC